TAATAATGTGAAAAGTCACCAGGATTAGAAGACTTCCATAATTCTCCACAGGGGCGGGAATGTGTCACTCCGTCATGTGTGTTTGGATCGAGGCAAGGTCATCAGAAGCTTATCAACGACTGGAAATAGCACGACTGCGTTCAAATATACAGTGCTGGGAATGAGGGAACTTCTTGGACTGGTTTTGAGGGAGACTATTATTATGTATTACTTGTTACTGTCACTCTTTCCAAAAGAAGCTTGACGTCTCAATTTCTCAATAACTTAAAAGTGAAAAGAGATAGAGGCTTTGTGTAAATTAGAGAAATGACAAGGAAGGCCCAAAGTTTAGGGAGAAATGAAAGGTACCCATCTAATTTTCATATTATGACGTCATATGGGCGTAGCGATCGCGGATTATCACGACATTACTGACAGACACAGATCACTAGGACATGAACACACAAAAGAACTCACACTGTACCACGCTCAAGGGTCGGGGAAAATAGTAAAACACTGCAAATCTGTGTGTAGAAGGAGTTTTGATACATGCTGACATCCTGCTTTACACAATCGGCCATTTTAAACAGTTTCGGCAACGTTCCCAGACCCTCATGCTGCTAACATGTACAGATGTAAACATACAAGTACTGTATATATTTCATGCACTAGAATATACAGTGTTTAATATTTGCTTCTTTATTATGCTAAAGTCAGAGAAGTTATACTTAATTCTTGCTTCTACATAATACTAAAGCCTGAGATTCTATACTTGCTACTTCAATGTTATTTGATGTTATTTTAGTATAGAGTTATTGTTCATTTATCTTGTGATGTGTGCTCCTTATTCTTACTGTTCTGTACTGTAACCAATATGAGGTGACCGCTGGGAAGGGTCCAGGGACCACATAGAAACCTGAATCAGGCTTGATGTGGCCCCCGGGCCGCACTTTTCCCTGGTCGGCATTAGATTGTCCTGTGACAGGTTAGTTTTACCCTACTGACGATGTGTTGTTGCAAAGGCAATCCTGCTATTACTGTCATTTCACATCCTACTGTATAATGTAACGTAAATCATTATCATTCATTGTGGCCAAAAACACAGTGATAATTTTTTTTTTTTAATTACTCAAATTTGGTGAAAAAGTATCTTAATTTGAGCACATTTTGACTGCCTTAAAACAAGATTTGCCAATGGGACAAAGCAAAATGATCTTGTTTTAAAAAGATACAAGAAATGTCTCCATTGAAATGAGGAAATAAAGCAACAGTTCTTGAAATAAGACTAAATGGCTTTGTCCCATTGGCAAAACGTGCTTCAACAAAGTCAGAATGTGTCAGATTAAGTAAATATTACCTCATATTTTATCATTTTTTGCTGTGTATGAATATTTCCTATTTAAAGACAGTAAAAATAGGTAACGGTTTTTAAAATGACTTATCCAGAAATGGCTGTGTTGTAATGCATCACAGGGGAAGGAGTTTCCATTCAAAATCACACAACATTTGCGATAAAACCACATCTTTCATCCAAAGTTCGCAATTACAATCACGTACATATTTTGTCAGACATAAACAAGAGCAGCGGGTCAACATCCAAACGTCCAGAAAGGTGGTCCGCACAAAATATGGCATTCTTTCAGTGAGTTTAAAAGTAGGTCAAGACACTGAGAGAAATCTCCTGTGCACGTGCTGCTTGTGACTAAGCCAAGACAGCTGATCAAGAGATTTACAGCAAAAAAGTCAAAAACGTTTTCGGACAGCAACAGCTAAATTATTCACGATACAAAATACACACAGATATTAATTCCCCCAGAGGAAAAACATTTATTGCAGATAAATCCTTTCATGTTTTTCAAGGATCAAAGATACTTTTTGCCGTGGGGCTGAGGACTGATCTAATTTAAAGCGCATACCGTCATGGCAGCCATCTCCGCTCACACTTCTGCTGACGTCCAGGGAGAGAGATCAAAGGTACAAAGAGACGGACAGGTACAAATTTGAAACAGCAGAGACGCAGCTCTTATCTCTATTGTAAAGTGTGTACAGTGCTTTACAGTAAAGAAGGATCAGGCCGTTTTATTATGATGTGGGGCGGCACAGTGAGTGGTTAGCACTCTCGCTTCTCAGCAAGAAGGTACTGGGTTCAAATCCCGGTCAGAACAAGGTCTTTCTGAGTGGAGTTTGCATGTTTCCCCCGTGCCTGCGTAGGTTTCCTCTGGGTGCTGCGGTTTCCGCTACCACTAAAAACATGCACAATAGGTAAGATCCTCCAGTTACCTGTTACTACGGCGACCACTGCTCCTGACGTAAGCCTTAGCGGCATCTGGATGGGTCAAATGCAGAGGATGAATTTCCCTACAGGGATTAATGAAGTGCCCCTTCACCTTTATTTTTAGGGCTGTGTAAGATTTTGGATAGGCAAGGGAAGTTTATTTGTGTAGAACAGTAAAAAGAAATGAACAAATCAGACTAATATTGTCTTTGTCTTTGTATAAACATTGTTTACAAGTCTCTCCAAGGCCTCTCCATGGCCTCGCAGCAAATACATCTGTGCCATGTTAGTGCCAGATGAACCAACTGACAGGGGACTCTGAGGAGCACAGGGACTGGCCTCCTGCTGCTCCCAGAGTCAGGACTAAACATGAGGACGCAGCTTTTCAGATTTATGCTGCTAGAATCTGGAACAGCATTCCTAAAAATGTGAGACAGGCTTCTATTCTGTATTTAACCTGTTCGAATCCAGGTTAAAACCCGTTCTGTTTAGCTGCATAAAACTGATGTATCTTCACTCTTTTTAATGTAATGTGATTATTTATGATTTTAATGCTTTGTGTGGTTGTTTCTATCTGTATTTTTTAAGCACTTTGAGTTGCTTTGCGCATGAACTGTGCTATACAAATACATTTGCCTTGACTCGTTACTCCACTATTTTATGCTTTGGGCAAGGCCTCTTGCCCAAAGCATAATGATATATAAATGATTTTAAAAAATGTAATAAATAAACAATAAAATACTAGTTATCCAATAGAAAAATAAAAACAAAAAAATCAAATAAACAGTTAGGTAGATTATACATAGCTTTGTTTTTATGTTTTGAAACTTACATACCCCAGCTTTAAATCCGGGAAGTGTCTAGAGTTTTGTGAATGGATGAAACAGGCCGCATTCACCACCAGTGCGCTGCGTTCTGGTAAACAGAAACCCAGAGAGGAATTCCCATTTTATCTGCGGCGAGTGAATGTGAGCTATGTCCCGATAGCACCGTATCATATCCTGTCTCTCCGACTGAAGGCTCCCGGACCACACAGGCCGACCCCAGACTCTGATTGATTAGACAGGACTTCAGTGAGGAGGCCCTGAAGTGTTTCCTTGTATCAGGGTCAAAAATAAACACTCAAGTTTGAAAACAAGTCGACACGAGACAAGTCAAACAATGAGTGTAATCTCTCACCGCTGCAGAGTTTGTAGAGTCTGCTGACATGGATCAACACTTTCTCTGCCACCTCTGAACACTGATGCCAGGCCAGGAAACCGTAACACATTTCGATTGACGATATATTGATTATAATGTGATATATGATAATATGGAAAAAACATTGTGTCGGTAGTGAGATTTCAAAACAGCCAGAGAACCCCTATGAATCATTTTTAATAGTATCATTAACCCTCTCAGGGCCCGAGTACATTTGAATGACAGGAAAAATGGGATTGTGGGTAATATATAGACTTTTTTTTTGAGAGAGAGAGACCTTCACTGGCAATGCATTCTAGGATGTTGCAGATTTACAACATTGGCCCACTGTGGTAAATACAGCTGACCCGGGGAAAACCCAGACGTACATCTAATACTGTAAAAGTTATGAATCTATTTATATTCATCTTTCATTTTATGCAGATTTGGTTTCAAACTATTAGAGGTTAGAAGTGATACTGAAATTGAGGCGAAGAAAATCTGTTTTGGTAAAAATAAGGAGACCGACATTTTGGAAATTTTGGAGACAGCGTGCCTCCTGGTGAGTGAGTGGAAAACTGTGTGTTGCAAAAGCTCAACTAAGTCCAGTGGAACTTCTGCGGAAAAAGGGTCAAAACTATGGATGTGCAGTAGTAAGGTAATAAGAAATGAAGTTGTTGCGAATCTGCAACGCCTGCCTGGACAACATTAAAAGCCATGAGCTGAAACAAAATAGACAGCTAAATTCAAGAGAAAGGATGTGATATTCAAATGTTATATTACAAAGAAGGTCTAAGGACAGCGTTGATGATCCAGGACACTCGACACGACATTTATGAACATTTATCAATATTTATGAATCTTGTTCATCCGCCCCGTATGGACGTCATTTATCATTGAATCGTGTGTTTGAACTGTTTGTTTCTCTGATCTGTGTTGATGGATTGACAGCTTTGTAAAGTTCTCTGAATTGACTTGAATACCAGGTCACATGAGTTATTCTTAAATATCAACATATATAGTAATGAGATCTCAAAATCCAAACTGAATTTCAATGAATGAGAAAAATGGTCTAAGATCTCTCTCTCTCTCTGGTTTCTCTCCCTTTTATCTGGTCTCTCTCTCTCCGTCTCTCTCTCCCTTCCTCTGCTCTCTCTCTCTCTCTCTGGTCTCTGTTCCTCTGGTCTCTCTCACTCTGGTTTCCCTCTATCTAGCCTCTCTGGCCTCTCTCTGGTCTCTCTCTCCTTCTGGTCTTTGCCTCTGGTTTCTCTCTCTCTCTCTCTTTTCTGGCATTTCTCTCTATAAACGCCAGGATCATAGAGAGCTCTAAACCACAAACTGAATTACTAAGGAGGAGTTTACTTTTCAATTTCAATAGGAGCCAGATCTAGTTGGAGCAAAACTTCACCCATGAGCACTTCCTTATTGGGCTTTATTGAGTTAGCGTGGCATTGCCCATCTACATCAGGTCTATGTGACAGGCCTGTGGCTGATGCTCCGACCCTTCACCTTTCTGCTGCCTCTGGGCCTCGTTACCCACAGTGCACCCCTGCCCCATGGACTATCGCTAACAGTAACGCGATCCCGTCACCGCGGCGACACCCCCAATATAAAGAGACAGACGAATACAAACTACAGCAACGTAAACAATCTCGGACACAGCCTCGCGACAGTCGGCCTGACGCCTGTGGCTGTCACTCAGACTGGGACCGGCAAGAAGAAATCAAATATGGGCTAATAAATGCTAAAATCAAGTGTTTTTTATCTTAATTTGTGCATTTTTTTCCCTCACTCTCTCTGATCTCTGTCTCACAGGTTTCTCTCGTATCTTTTTTCTGGTCTCTCTCTATCCGTATCACTCTCTTCGTCTCTGTCTGGTTTCTCTCTCACTAGTCTCTGTCTCTCTGGTTTCTCTCTATCTGGTCTCCCACTCTGATCTCTCTCTCTCTGGTCTCTCTCTCGCTGGTTTGTCTGACTCTGGTCTCGGTCTCTCTGGTCTCTGTTTCTCTCTTTCTGTCTGGTTTCTCTCTCACTGGTCTCGAGTCTCTATCGCTCTGTTTTTCATCTTAATTTGAGCACATTCTGACTGTGTTAAAATGTCCAATGGAGACCTTTCTTGTGTCTTTTTAAAACAAGATAATTTTGCTTTGTTCCATTGGCAAATCTGGTTTTAAGGCAGTCAAAATGTGCTCAAATTAAGATACATTTTACCAAATTTGAGTAATTTTTGACACATTTTTAATTCCTTTTTGCAGTGTAGGAGCCGCAGATACGTGACGGGGTCAGACCTGCCCTCATCAATCACGGCTGCGGAGTCCAGGATCTCAGCCGTTTGGAACCTGAGTCTGAAAAACAGCCACTGGAGGAAAACAACCAGTCAAAGAGAGGAGAAAACATCAATCACTCACTTCTTTACCAGTGGTGTTGATAATGTAATGTGTTACCAGTGAACCGGGGTGAGCCGTCATTACAACTATGTATAGTATGGCAATATTGGTGAAGCTGGAGTTGGCTGGATGACATTATGAGAGTACTTCATTAAAGTTTGTGTTAGCAAGGCCAAAGGCAAACCCAAAATGACATAGTGGACCACAGTTTTTTTCTCAGTGTGAATGAGGCTGCAGAAGCCCCAGTCCAAGCTATAGGCTACAATCACAGCACAGTACAGTAGTGATGAGATCTCAAAGTCTATGATGAATGATAAAAATAGTGTATGGTCTCTCTCTCTGGTCTTTCTCGCTCTCTGGTCCCTGTCTCTGGTCTCTGTCTCTCTCTGGTTTCTCTCTGGTCTTTCTCTCTGATCTCTCGCTCTGGTCTCTCTCTCTCTTTCTCTCTGGTTTCTCTCTATCTCTTCTGTCTCTCTCCTGTATCTCTCTCCAACTTTTCTATCTGTCTGTTTTGTCTCTCACTGGTCTTCTCTGTCTCTGTCTCTCTAATTTCTCTCTCTGTGTCTTTATACTCGTCTCTCTCTTTCTTGTATCTCTCTCCATCTCTCTGTCTGGTCTCTCTCTCACTGGTCTCTCTCTGGTTTCTCTCTCTCTGTCTTTATTCTGATCTCTCTCTCACTGGTCACAGTCTCTCTCTCTCTTGTATCTCTCTCCATCGCTCTTTCTGTCTGGTCTCTCTCTCTCTGGTTTCTCTCTCTCTGTCTTTATTCTGATCTCTCTCTCACTGGTCTCTGTCTCTCTAGTTTCTCTCGCTTTGTCTTTAATCCTATCTCTGTCTCTCTCTCTCTCTTATATCCGTCTCTGTCTCTCTCTCTCTTGTATCTCTTTCCATCTCTCTCTTTGTTTCTGTCTGGTCTCTCTCTCTCTCTGTCTCTTGTATTTCTCTCCATCTCTTTCTCTCTTTCTGTCTGGTCTCTCTCTCTCTGTCTTTATTCTGGTCTCTCTCTCACTTGTCTCTCTCTCTCTTGTTTCTCTCTCTCTGTCTTTATTCTGATCTCTCTCTCACTTGTCTCTGTCTCTCTCTCTCTCTTGTATCTCTCTCTATCTCTCTCTCTCTTTCTGTCTGGTCTCGCTCTCTCTCTCTGGTTTCTCTCTCTGTATCTTTATTCTGGTCTCTCTTTCACTGGTCTCTGTCTCTCTGGTTTCTCTCTGTCTGTCTTTATTCTGAGCTCTCTCTCTCTCTGGTCTCTGTCTTTCTAGTTTCTCTCTCTTTGTCTTTATTAACATCTCTCTCTCTGTCTCAAAAAATGACAAAATGACAACAATTTACCCATTTTTTCCCCTCCTGGACCCGCGTAGTTTCTCCAAATGCAACTACAGTAACTTGTCTCTCTTTGGCGTGCTGAGACAGTGTTATTGCCTGTGGGTGGCGGATGCTCAACACTTTGGCTCTACATGGACACATATTCCCAGAAGACCAGTTTTTTTTTATCCCAAACGCGGGAATGCAAACAATCTGACCCACGGAGCTTTGACGACACACGCTTTCAAACAAGCTTTTTATTAAAACTTCAGCTTCTTACCTGCAGCCGATCCGGTGGCTGTCCTCCCGGCCGCCTGCTGAGAAAAGAGAGCAAATACACAATAAGAGAAACATATACACATAAAGTTGATTCGATGGTCACTACTGAAAGCAACAGCGGTGAATTCCACAGCAGCAGCAGCTCTGGGAAATTGACCTAGATTCAGAGTCTAGTCCAACCAAACACAAGGGTTTTCCTGTTTATATTGTTCAAACCCCAAGACCCTCACGGATTATTTACACCAACATGAAGTTCTACTGGTTATTACTAATTCAGAGGGTATGTGTCTGCTCTCTCTGGGTTCTCTCTCTTCCCTTTCTGGTGTCTCTCTCTCTCATTATGGTCTCCCTTTCTGGTTTCTCTCTCTACCCTTTCTGGTGCCTCTCTCGCTCTTCCTCCGTCTTTTTCACTCTTCATCTCTCTTTCTTTGTCTCTCTGTCTCTCTCTCCATCTGTCTTCGTCTCTCTCTATTTAAACTAATCTGGTTTCTCTCTTCCCTTTTTGGTGTCTCTCTCTCTCATTCTGGTCTCCCTCTCTGGTTTCTCTCTCTTCCCTTTCTGATGTCTCTCTCTCTCTTATTCTGGTCTCCCTCTCTGGTTTCTCTCTCTTTTATCTGCTCTCTCGGTCTCTTTGTGGTCTTTGGTTTCTCTCGCTGTCTCTCTATCTCTTTATTCTGGTGTCTCTTTCTCTCTTCCTCCGTCTTTCTCACTCCTCATCTTCTTTCTGTCTCTATCCATCTGTCTCCGTCGCTCTCTATTTACTCTAGTCTGGTTTCTCTCTTTTCCCTTTCTGGTGTCTCTCTCTCGCTTATTCCGCTCTCCCTCTCTAGTTTCTCTCTCTTCCCTTTCTGGTGTCTCTCTCTCTCTCATTCTGGTCTCCCTCTCTGGTCTCTCTCTCTTTTTACTGCTCTCTCGGTCTCTCTGTGGTCTCTGGTTTCTCTCTTTGTCTCTCTTTCTCTTTATTCTTGTGTCTCACTCTCTCTTCCTTCGTCTTTCTCACTCTTCATCTCTCTCTCTATCCGTCTCCCTCTCTCTCCGTCCCTCTCATTCTCTCTCTTCATTCTGGTGTCTCTCTCTCAGTCCGTCCCTTTCTCTCTCTCTGCCTCTCTCTCTCTCTCCATCCCTCTATTTATCTCCATCTCTCCGTCTCTATCTCTCTCTCCCCATCTCTCTCTCCCTCCCCGTCTCCCGCTCAGTCTCTCTCCCTCCATCTCTCTCTTTCTCTCTCCCTCTCTCTAAATTACTAAATTAGTGGATATCCGTTTGACAAAGAAAACCAGACGCTCTCTCGTTTTTCCTGAATCATAATAAATGACATTAAACAGAAGAAGTACAGAGCGGCCCTGTGTTTTTGGCTCCATGTGGTTTTAGGAAAGACACAGAAACGAATGAGAATAGATTACAGCGAGTTAGAATAATAAGCCATATCCAGCCGGCTTCAATGTCACACAAATCATAATTAACCCACTTTGTGTCCCCGGCACTTCAAATGCAGCGTGACCCAATGGAAAATAAGATCAAAATTAACATGATGAACTATAAGGAGCAAATCAGGACGAGCAGTTTTCACTTTGTCTGTAGTTTTAAAACAAATGTATTGATTGCATTTGGACGTTAGGCGTGTGCTAAAACATCATCACATTTTTGTTCTTATTTTATTTTTTAAACTGCTATCTACACCTTCTGTGCGGGGTTATCCCTCTCTCAGCTCGGGTTCTCTCCTCGGGGAGTCTGAGGGTTCTGCACAGTATCAAGCACATTTCATAAACAAGCAGTTTCCAAAGTGCTGTACAACAAGCAAAAATGGCAACAAATAAACAAATACAAACATATATTAAAAAATTAAAAAAGTATCTTTGCTTTTCCCAGCGATGTACTTTTCTGGACTGAAATTTCCGAGGTTGTTCCAGGGATAGGCTGTAACGCTCCGATCATCGCGGGCACTACTGTCTCCTTTACCTCCAGGGCCCTCTCTAGCTCCTCTCTCAGCCCTTTTTGTTCTCCATATACACATGCCACACACAATCACAGAACATGCAAAAAGGGAGCAAGATGAACTCCAAAGGGCTGTGAAACACCCAAGTGTGGATATACAGAAAACCAATGGATTTTTTAAATTAAATTAACACTAAAATTACCACAAAAGTTGACAGTGAAGCTGTCGGTTCACTGTAAGCTGAGGATGAGCCGTATTTGTCAGCGCAGGTGTTCTCCCCGGGCTGAAGCACCAATACCCTATCCAAGTAATATAATATATACATCAGGGGTGTCCAAACTTTTTACTTAAATGGTTTCTGTGGTTCACCAAAAATGCCCTGGGACCGACAACATGGATTAACTAGATTATGGCTTTTCTGACCTTTAAGATTAAGTGTGAAATGTCTATATTGGTTCATCTTTGACAGAGCTAAAGTTGGCTGAATGACAAAGGTTTACTCACCAGATAGATTATTAGCACCATACAATCAAGAATAAATGTCAGTTTAGTCAAACAAACTCAATGGAGAAATTGAACTTCACATCCAGGTACAACATGTCTGGATTACACCGTGAACTTGTCTTCATGATCATAAAGACTTTTGGGTTCGCAAAGCAGGGGGCTGTGTAAAATGACATGGAGGACAGCAATTGGCCCCCGGACCTTAGGTTGGATATACTTGAGATACATGGTCCACTCCTGAGTTACAGTTTATTGCTGGTTCTCTGCTTTTCTGTCTGAAGAAACTGAAGTAAAGTTGTTTTGTGGTTTTAAAGTTAGGTCCTCCAGCTTTAAATCAGTTTCATCCATGACAAAATCCATCAGCCTGGACCTGGACACGTGAAGAGCTCTGACGGTAACTCTTTGGGGAAACAGGAAATGAACTTTTCCAAAGCACTAGACCTTGAGTTCAGTCCTCATTAAACAGATGTTTTTGTGAATCAAAACGAAACTCAAACCCAGAGGCTCGACGATGATAGACTTTGGTGATACAGGGTCTGATGCAAACGTGGAAACCCCCTGAATTGGACAAGAGCTGGATTTACCCATGATGCACCTGCAAGTTTCCATTTAAGCCCCGCATACGTCATGTCTTTGATATTTTTGGGTCAGTTACTGGACATGAGCGACGCCTGAGCCTGGATCAGGGATTTATGAGATTTAAACCCTATCCTTGTTGTGCTTGTAACAGTAAATTAAGAGATTTATGCAGCAATAATCCTGCTCCAACATGACGTTCTGGATTTGAAATAAAACAAGCAATAAGGGTTTTTGACTTTGATTTGAAACATTTACAGCCAAATCAGGAGAACAATGTGGGAGTTAGCGCTATTTCTGTGTGTGTTTTTGATCTGCCCCTGGCTCCTCTGACGTGGTTTCTGTGTCACATTTGATTCTTTCTTACAGATTTTATTTCCGAAAAAGCAGCTTCTTCAGGGCTTAGTTTGGTGATATTTCTTTTAAATATTAAGTCTCATAATATTCACATATGAATGGTTAAACAATCTGAAATGTCTCCTTCAGCACACACACAATCAAATCCAAATATCTCCATCTCTCTCTTTCTCCCACTGGTCTCTATCTCTCGGGTCTCTCTCTCTCTCTCCCTCCGTCTGTCTCTCCATCTCTCTCTGTCTCTCTCTACATCGCTTTCTCTCTCCATCTCTCTCCCTCTCTCCGGCTCTCTCTTTTTCTCTCTCATGTCTTTGCATTACATGTCTCCTTCAATACACGCACAATCAAATCCAAATATCTAACTCTCTCTCTTTCCCTCCATCTCTTTCTCTCTCTCTCCTACACGCTCTCCGTCTCTCTCCATCTTTTTCTCTATTTGTCTCTCTCTCTCTCTCTTCTTCTCTATCCCTCTTCGTCTCTCTGGTCTCTCTGTTTCTCTCTCTCTCTCTTTGTCTCTCTCCGTCTCTCTCTCTTTAGGTCTCTCTCTCTGTCTTTCTCTACATCTCTCTTGCTCTCTCCATCTCTCTCTCCATCTCTCTCTCTCTCTCCATTTATCTCTCTCTCTGTCTCTCTCTCCATCTCTTTCTCTATCTGTCTCTCTCTCCCTCTTCGTCTCTCTGGTCTCTGTTTCTCTCTCTCTCTCTTTGTCTCTCTCCCTCTCTCTCTCTCTTTAGGTCTCTCTCTCTGTCTTTCTCTACATCTCTCTTGCTCTCTCCATCTCTCTCTCCGTCTCTCTCTCCATTTCTCTCTCTCCGTCTCTCTCTCCATCTCTCTCTTTCTCTCTCATGTCTCTGCATAACATGTCTCCTTCAACACACACAATCAAATCCAAATCCATATCAGAAAAAAATATTGAAATTGAATATTTTTACAAAAACGTTCACCTTTTAAACATGCAACAAAAATATTACTAGCATGGATTTCTCAAATGTTCATAATTTAATGCTTTAAAAAATATATATATGTATAAAAAATGTGCAGTACATTTTGCAACACGTGTCTCCTTCAGCACATACATAATCTAATTCTAACCAAAATCACTGTCAGAAAAAACATCAAATTTGAATATTTTGCCCAAAAACATGCCCCTAGTGGAGACTGACATGAACATAAAACCAGACCAGGGTTTCTTATCAGCTCCTTTTTCTTTGCTTCGTGTCTCTGGAGCAGTCTGTCTGTGTAAAATCAATCTGCGGAGGCCGATGATGTGCAAAAGTTTGGTGTTAGCTGTAGCAATAATCGCTCTTCAGATCTTTGGTCCACATTAAACTCTTAGAGAAACACACAAATGATCCTGGAGATGATCTGAGCTACTGTGATGCGTGTGGAGATACAGTGTTGTACAAAACCTGCTCTAAGTTTGGTGTTGAATGACAATAGGCATCTGGTGCTGTGTATGTGTGTGTGTGTGTGTGTGTGTGTGTGTAGGTATGTGTAAGTGTGTATGTATGTGTAAGTGTGTATGTGTGTGTCGGTTTGGACAGCTGTGCTTTATCAGTCACGGTCCGGGGAAAATAAACGCTTGCTTCACTGTCGGGTCTGATCCCACGGCCTCTCGCTGCTCCTACCTACTTACACATGTCAGCACACACACACACGCACACACACACACACACACACACACACACACACACCTGGAATACTCTACCACAATGAATTGATATACTTTGGCCGCATCGCTATAGGCCAAAGAACTTAAAAGTATCGTCTTATAGTCCAGCAATTATTGTATAGTTTTGTGAGCGTGTGTTTGTGTGTCTGTCTATGTGTGTGTGTGTATGTGCGTGTCTGTCTGTGTGTATGTGTATATATGTATGTGTTTGTGTGTGTGTTTATGTCTTTACGTATGTGTGTGAGTATGTGTGTGTCTGTATGTGTGTGTGTGCGTCTGTCTGTGTGTATGTATGTCTATGCGTGTGTACGTGAATGTGTGTAAAAAGAGACTGTGTGTGTAGGTCTGTGTGTATGTGTGTGTGCATATGTCTCTGGGTGTGTGCGTGTCTGTGTGTATGTTTGTCTATGCTTGTATATGTGTATGCATGTATGTGTTTGTGTGTCTGCGTGAGTGTATGTGAGTGTGCGTGAGCATGTACTACCAGAAGATGAGAAGAAGCTACATAATTCTACCTATTGTATATGTTTTAGTTGTACGTGAAACCGGAGCACCTGGAGGAAACCTACGCAACTACAATAAAAACACATACTCTCCACTCAGAAAGCCCCTATTCCGACCGGGATTCAAACCCAGGACCTTGTAGCTGCGACACGAGAATGCTAGCTTACCTCCCCATCTACACAGCTAGCTCCCCACGTTGAACCAACCTCATCCGCTTTTAAGTTTCTGGTCTCAGCAGGTTTTCCAGGGCTCAACATTCAAACGTGTTCGAGCTGTTTTTCAGTTTTCCCAGGACTTTTACAAACACAGTTCAAACACATTACACCGTTGAATAAATCATTTGGATCAACTCCCCAAATATCATTAATATTTAAGACCTCAAAAGAAGCATGGCAGAGATTTGAACTAGATTTGCTTCATGACCTACTTTTCAAACTTGCAAATCAAAAGCTCGAATCTAAAGCAATAGTTCCTTCCCCCCAAAAAACAAAACATAAATCTCATTCTATAAACACACATTTCTCTCATAATATAGCCATAGATTGCAGATAAAGAGACGCAAATTACAAACACAGCCTCATGACGACCCAATGACCTCCAAGGGCTGCATCCAAATACTATTTTCAGATCCTTTCAGAATTCCTTGGCTCTTCTTTGTTTATTGTGGCACGGTCCGATTACAGCCGGATTATCATATTTAGTCTTTGCTATCGCTTCATCCTGGACCAGAAGTTGCATTTCACTTTGAGCCGGTCTCCAAAGTCAGCTGCATGTGTCGGTACGTGTGTTTTTTTTGTCAATATTCAAAATGAGATTAGAACAAATGACTGGATTTATACACTTGAGCTGAACCACTGCAAAAATTTATGAAAAATAAGTCAAAAATGGCTCGAATTTGGCGAAATGTATTTTAATTTGAGCACAATATGACTGCCTTGTGCTTCCCTCGGGTCAAAATTACCTACCACATTGATTAAAAGTAGAACAAAGATCTAAACGGGTCTAAATGATTCAGGGTTGGTCAAGTTGGTCAAATCATAAAAATTCAGAATTATTTTTTTTATTAATGGCCATTTTTAATCACTGTGGCGGGTCTATTTGACTTGAGAATAGTACTAGGGTTAAAACTATTTGCCAATTGGACAAGGAAATTATCTTGTTTTAAGACACAAGAAATGTCTCCTTTGGATTGAGAAAATAAAGCAACAGTTCTTGAAATAACTGCTAATTTACAGAGGAGGCGTTACAGCACGTACACGTTGTACACGCAGCAGATGCGCGTAACATTTTTACATGTTAACCAATGGTGATATTTACACTACTAGTGTTATACACGCGTATGACGGACGTATGACGCGAGGCTGCGCCTAATTTAGGATGGATTTCAAATTTTGCGTGCACAGCAACGTGTCTCCAGTCAAAACACAAGGGAAACATGATTTTTCCGTGTTTGTCTTTGAGGAAACACAAACATGTGATTTGTGTTGCTTGACATCAGTCCTCTGTACTGTCCTCTACACTTCTCCATAGAAAACACAGGGGGAGCATCAAAAGCCGCAGACCTGTGCACACGGCCATTGTACAGTCAACGCCTACTGTGGAAATTAGCAGTAAGACTAAATGTTCTTTCCCCATTGGAAAATCTTCTTTTAACACAGTCAGAATGTGTTAAAACAAGATTCTCCAATGGGACAAAGCCATTTAGTCTTATTTCAAAAACTGCTGCTTTATGTTCTCATTCCAAGGAAGACATTTCTTGTATCTTTTTAAAATAGGATCATTTTGCTCTTTGTCCCATTAGAAAATCTTGTTTTAAAGCAGTCAGAATGAGTTCAAATTAAGATACATTTTACCAAATTTGAGCAATTTCTGACTTATTTTTCATCACTTTTTGCAGTGTATATTCTAGTGCACAAACTAAATAGTTGTATGTATGTATCTGTAGCACGAGGGTCTGGGACAAAGTGACAAAGTAAAGAGACATATGTGGGTCTGTATTGCACATTCTGAGATTATTCAAAGTACTATTGCACAGATGAGTAAAGCAAAGAGACAGGGGAAGACTTATTTCTGTTTCCTTTGTAATTTCAGATCAAAATTGAGCATTCAGATTTGATAAATACATAGCAATAATCCAGCGGTGTATATTCTCCCTATATCACAGACAGAGCATGGTACGTCTTCTTTAATGCTTGGAGCTCAGAGGACGCAGCTTAAACAGGACGAGCTGCAGCGGCTCTTGTTGCTGCACTGCTGACTCCGGGAGAGATGACCTTGCATTTCTTCGAGCTGCCTCATCTTTTTTACTGGGGCTGTATTGACGCAAGAGCAGAGAGATACTGGACGCACGCCCGAAGCCAGAGAGAGAGATTTAAACAAACGGAAAAATACAAGAAAATAGAGAATTTATTTGGCATGAAAGGTATAAACAAATTTGGATTTAAGGGAAAAGGGGGATTTGGTTTTTATGTGAGAAATGGGATTGGAGTCGACAATTTGGAGTCTATAAGAGTCTGAGAACATGTTTGAGGGATTGCAAAGTCAGAATAAATATGTTGTGTTGTTTTAGAAAGGACATCTGGTGAGATATCTTCCTCGACAAGCCTCTACGGATTGGTAGAATAAGATAGCTTACTAAAAAAACTAAAAGTTCCCTCACAAAAAAATAGGAATGTGAAAGAAGAATGTGAAATTTGTATTATAGTTGATTACAAACATACATAGATACACATTCATACGTGTATATTACAGTTATTAGGATGAGACGTTTTGAAACATTTTGGATTCTACCAGAGGAGGAGAGAGGAGAGGAGGAGCTAGGAGAGAGGAGCAAGGACCGAGGAGAGGAGGAGCTAGGAGAGAAGAGAGAAGGAGCTAGGAGAGGAGAGGTGCTAGGAAAGAGGAACCAGGAAAGGAGAGGAGGAGCAAGGAAAGAGGAGCTAGGAGAGGCTAGGTGCTAAAGAGGAACTAGGAAACGAAGGGAGGAACGAGGAGAGAGGAGAGAAGGAGCTAAAAAAAAGGAGGGGAAAAGGGAGACAGGAGAAGAGGGGAGGATGCTAGGAAAGGTGAGGAGGAGCAAGGACAGAGGAGCTAGGAGAGAGGAGAGAAGGAGCAAGGACAGGAGAGGAGGAGCTTGGAGGGAGAAGAGAAAGAGCTAGGATAGAGAAAGAGCAAAGACAGGAGAGGAGGAGGAACTAGAGGAGAGAAGGGGCAAGGAGAAGAGAAGGGGCTAGGACAGAGGAGCTAGGACAGTGGAGAAGAGGAGCTAGGAAAGAGAAGCTAGGATAGAGGAGAAAATGAGCTAGGACAGGAGAGGAGGAGGAACTAAAGAGAAGTGGAGGAGATAGGAGAGAGGAGGGGAGGAGCTATGAGCCTATATTTTTAAATGACATAAATAATATTTCTACCCATGGCCTCTACAGTCCCTCTGTCTGTTCCACCAACACAATTGATGGGACCAGAATCCAAAAACGTCCCGCCCTCCACCTGGTCAATCTATAGCATCCGCCAATGAGCACACACATTGAAGGAGCCGCCATGTTGGAGACCAGAGGCTTTGACACAGACATATTTATAGTCACTAATGTCTATTTTAATAATTGATTAATGGCCTCTGCCTTTAGTCATGTGTGAGTGAACAACATAGAAGACTGGAATGAATCATACTGAATCATATTGACCTCATCAGTCCCAGTGGGGTCTTATTACAGACAGAGCAGCAGACTGTAACCTACTTTTATGAAACGACTAAATTTAGACAAACAGCACGAATGATCTAGGTCTAGGAATCAATGAACGTGTGGTCGACCTCTACGGAAAATACATCAGATTTTTCCCAAAGACTCGAGATCCTATAGTGTCTGCATCTTTCTCCTCATCACAGAAGTTTTTTGGTTATTCCAACACAAAAACTATAACATTATAATGTGTCTATGTGATGTTTAATGATGCCAATAGAGCTTTTCTTGAATTTTGTGAAACACTACAATGCTGACTTTACTAACCCTAACCCTTACCCATTGAATTAAAGCTGGATAACCCAAGGTTTAATTTTCTTTTTACAAAATCCATCTAACCAGCTCCTCTCCTTTTAAACAGTTCCATGACACCTGAGGGTTGCACTGATTGTGTAACTCTAAGAGTTGACTTGTGTATGGAATGTGCATTGTCGTGACGTTGGGCTAGACATTTAACTCCATCCATCCATCCAAAAGTCAGAGGAGCACCCAGTACACAGAGCACCAGCCCCTCACTGATCCTCCTGCAGGTGGTGAGTCCACAGGAGCCTTGATCTTTCAGTGGGGGCTTCAGGCAAAGTGGAGTTAAGTGTCTTGCCCGTGTCCTTGTCTGGTGATAGCATGTACGTGTGGATGTGGACTCACCCGGGCTCGTCGTGCATGCAGGTGCATGGGTGAGGAGAGGGAGGAGCGGGGGAGGGGCCGGCTGCGAGTGAGAGGGCGGACACGACGTCGCTGAGGCTCCTGCGCTCTGCCGTGGTCCAGGCTCAGGGACCGACCGGGCGCCCGGCGGAACACTGCGGCCTCCTGAGAGGAGACAACAAAAGAAATGTGAGAGATTTATCATTTGACGTATTTTTAACTTTCAAATCTTTGATCGGCTGTTTCCAAAATTTGGCAGACCCCCTTATAGAAATACATCCACTGTCAATTCATACTTTATTGCAAGTTATTCAAGTCCTGGATCTACAGCCTCAATCCTGGATCTACAGCCTCAGTCTTTTATTTATTTATTTATTTATAGTGGATGGCCCCTTGAGATGAATCATCTCTTTTTCGAGGGGGTCCGGGTCTACAGCCTCAGTCTTGGATCTACAGCTTCAGTCCTGGATCTACAGCCTCAGTCCTGGGTCTACAGCCTCAGTCCTGGGTCTACAGCCTCAGTCCTGGGTCTACAGCCTCAGTCCTGGATCTACAGCCTCAGTCCTGGGTCTACAGCCTCAGTCCTGGGTCTACAGCCTCAGTCCTGGGTCTACAGCCTCAGTCCTGGATCTACAGCCTCAGTCCTGGATCTACAGCCTCAGTCCAGGATCTACAGCCTCAGTCCTGGGTCTACAGCCTCAGTCCTGGGTCTACAGCCTCAGTCCTGGGTCTACAGCCTCAGTCCTGGATCTACAGCCTCAGTCCTGGGTCTACAGTCTGAGTCCTGGGTCTACAGCCTCAGTCCTGGGTCTGCAGCCTCAGTCCTGGTCTACAGCCTCAGTCCTGGATCTACAGCCTCAGTCCTGGGTCTACAGCCTCAGTCCTGGGTCTACAGCCTCAGTCCTGGGTCTACAGCCTCAGTCCTGGGTCTACAGTCTCAGTCCTGGGTCTACAGCCTCAGTCCTGGGTCTACAGTCTCAGTCCTGGGTCTACAGTCTCAGTCCTGGGTCTACAGCCTCAGTCCTGGGTCTACAGCCTCAGTCCTGGGTCTACAGTCTCAGTCCTGGGTCTACAGCCTCAGTCCTGGGTCTACAGCCTCAGTCCTGGGTCTACAGTCTCAGTCCTGGATCTATTGTGGGCTAACTCAGGACCATAACTTTACATGTGTCTATCTTCCCCTAGTCTCCTTCTTCATGAGACCCCAGTGAGTCTAAGTCTCGGTCTCTGTCTCGGTCTCGTACCGCTCTGTGTGAGCAGGGGCGTGCAGGGCAGGGCGGGGTTCTCGTAGGAGGGGTGGGCTCCCGGGGGGATGGCGGGGACTGCGAAGCTCTTCAGCGGGTGTGCGTGTGCGTGCACCGGGCGCAGAGGGGCCAGGCTGCCGCTATAGCTGCCCTCCTCCTCCGTGGTGCTGCCGTGGTAGCTCCCCTCCGGGTCCACCGTGATCTCCGAGGGACAGGAGAGCTGCGAGGAGAGCTGCGAGGAGAGCTGCGAGGAGAGCTGCGAGGAGAGCTGCGAGGAGAGCTGCGAGGAGAGCTGCGAGGAGAGCTGCGAGGAGGCCGGGGGAGGGGCGTCCGAGCACGGCGTGTTCCTCACCGACTCTGAGGGAGACAAGAGGGTCACGTTATAGATGCCACAACACTACTATGGAACCAGGTGTGCAAGAAGGAGGGGGGAAGGGAGACGAGAACCATGTGGCACTATAGATGCCACCACACTAAGGAAGGAAGGGAGACGAGAACCATGTGGCACTATAGATGCCACCACACTAAGGAAGGAAGGGAGACGAGAACCATGTGGCACTATAGATGCCACCACACTAAGGAAGGAAGGGAGACGAGAACCATGTGGCACTATAGATGCCACCACACTAAGGAAGGAAGAGAGACGAGAACCATGTGGCACTATAGATGCCACCACACTAAGGAAGGAAGGGAGACGAGAACCATGTGGCATGTGGCACTATAGATGCCACCACACTAAGGAAGGAAGGGAGACGAGAACCATGTGGCACTATACAGTGCCTTGCGAAAGTATTCGGCCCCCTTGAACCTTTCAACATTTCACCACATTTCAGGCTTCAAACATAAAGATATAAAATTTTATTTTTTTGTCATGAATCAACAACAAGTGGGACACAATCATGAAGTGGAACGAAAGTTATTGGATAATTTAAACTTTTTTAACAAATAAAAAACTGAAAAGTGGGGCGTGCAATATTATTCGGCCCCTTTACTTTCAGTGCAGCAAACTCAGTCCAGAAGTTCAGTGAGGATCTTTGAATGATCCAATGTTGTCCTAAATGACTGATGATGATAAATAGAATGCTCCTGTGTGTAATCAAGTCTCCGTATAAATGCACCTGCTCTTTGATAGTCTCAGGGTTCTGTTTAAAGCGCAGAGAGAACCATGAAGACAAAGGAACACACCAGGCAGGTCCGAGATACTGTTGTGGAGAAGTTTAAAGCCGGATTTGGATACAAAAAGATTTCCCAAGCTTTAAACATCTCAAGGAGCACTGTGCAAGCAATTATATTGAAATGGAAGGAGTATCAGACCACTGCAAATCTACCAAGACCCGGCCGTCCCTCCAAACTTTCATCTCAAACAAGGAGAAGACTGATCAGAGATGCAGCCAAGAGGCCCATGATCACTCTGGATGAACTGCAGATAACTACAGCTGAGGTGGGGATGGTGTGTTCAGGGTGATGAGCTGTGTTGCTTTTACGCCAAACATATCGTTTTGAATTGTGGCCAAAAAGTTTGATTTTGGTTTCATCTGACCAGAGCACCTTCTTCCACATGTTTGGTGTGTCTCCCAGGTGGCTTGTGGCAAACTTTAAGAGACTTTTTATGGATATCTTTGAGAAATGGCCACTCTTCCATAAAGGCCAGATTTGTGCAGTGCACGACTGATTGTTGTCCTATGGACAGACTCTCCCACCTCAGCTGTAGTTATCTGCAGTTCATCCAGAGTGATCATGGGCCTCTTGGCTGCATCTCTGATCAGTCTTCTCCTTGTTTGAGATGAAAGTTTGGAGGGACGGCCGGGTCTTGGTAGATTTGCAGTGGTCTGATACTCCTTCCATTTCAATATAATTGCTTGCACAGTGCTCCTTGAGATGTTTAAAACTTGGGAAATCTTTTTGTATCCAAATCCGGCTTTAAACAGTGAGTGAGATGGAAGGCCTCACCTATAGACTCGCCCCGGGACAGGTGAGCGATGGGGGAGGCACAGGGGTGGTAGCGCCCTCCACTGGCCTGGGGGTGGTACAGGTAGGTGCGCGTGGGCGAGGCCAGGCTGTGGTAGTGCTGAGGCTGGAGCGAGTCCAGGGAGTGGATGGGGTGAGCTGAGATGACCGCTGCGTACGACACATGAAGCAATGACACACAATGACACACAATGACACACAATGACACACAATGACACACACACATGACACACAATGACACACAATGACACACAATGAGACACAATAAGACACAATGAGAGAGAGAGGAGAGAGGAGGAGAGAGGGGAGAGAGAGGAGAGAGAGAGAGGAGAGAGAGGAGAGAGAGGAGAGAGAGAGGAGAGAGGAGAGAGAGAGAGGAGAGAGAGGAGAGAGAGGAGAGAGAGTAGAGAGAGGAGAGAGAGAGAGGAGAGAGAGGAGAGAGAGAGAGAGAGAGGGGAGAGAGAGGAGAGGGAGGGGAGGAGAGAGAGAGAGGGAGAGAGAGAGAGAGAGAGAGAGAGAGGGAGAGAGAGAGAGAGGAGAGAGAGAGAGAGAGAGGAGAGAGAGAGGAGAGAGAGGAGAGAGAGGAGAGAGAGAGAGAGAGGGGAGAGAGAGGAGAGGGAGGGGGAGACAGACGAGAGGGAGGAGAGAGAGAGAGAGAAGAGGGAGGCGAGAGAGAGAGAGGAGAGAGAGGGGAGAGAGAGGAGAGAGAGGGGAGAGAGAGGAGAGGGAGGGGGGAGACAGAGGAGAGGGAGGAGACAGACAGGAGAGAGAGGAGAGGGAGAGGGGAGACAGAGGAGAGGATGGAGAGAGAGGGGAGAGAGAGAGAGAGAGGGAGGAGAGAGAGGAGAGAGAGGAGAGAGGAGAGGGAGGGGGAGACAGAGGAGAGGGAGGAGAGAGAGAGAGAGAAGAGGGAGGCGAGAGAGAGGGAGAGAGAGGAGAGGAGAGGGGAGACAGAGGAGAGGGAGGAGACAGACAGGAGAGACAGGGGGAGAGGGGAGACAGAGGAGAGGATGGAGAGAGAGGGGAAAGAGAGAGGAGAGGGAGAAGAGAGAGGAGAGAGAGGGGAGAGAGAGAGAGAGGAGAGAGAGAGAGACGAGAGGGAGGAGAGAGAGAGAGAGAGAGAGAGAGAGAGAGAGAGATGAAGACAGGAGAGCATGGGATGTCCACAGATGACACTTTCCTCTCGTATAAGACCCTCGTCCCACTCCTCACCCTCTGCACAGGAGCTGCCCTGGTCTCCCCCTCCCTCCCCCTCTCTCCCCCTCCCTCCCACACACACTTACGCTGAGGCGGCTGGGCATCAAACGGCATCATCATTTTAGGCCTCATCCCGCGGCGGCCTCCCAGAGTCGACATGCCGTCCTCAGACTCGAGCCCTAAAACGCAGGCTCAGCTGCCAAACTGACCGAGCTTTTGTCTTTGAATGCTTTTAAATCAAAACTCAGAGTTTTCGAGACTGCCTCAATCACCTGTAAATGTTTTACTTGATGTGTTTAGTCTGTATATCTGTCATTTTTTTATGTAATTGTATCTATCTGTTGTGTTTATGTGTAACTTTGCTGCCTCTTGGCCAGGACTCCCTTGAAAAAGAGATTCTTAATCTCAATGGGATTTTTCCTGGTTAAATAAAGGTTAAATAAAAAAAAAAAAAGGAAGATGGCCGCAAGACCAGTTTCTGCGTGACTTGGGCACATACTTTTACAACAAAAACTCAGTAAATTCTAATCTGATTACGAATATTACTGAATACAACGTTGGTTAAACATTTGTGCAGCGCTGCTCATTGGAATAATGGCTGATAATACGAGACAACGTAAGGTAAAAGAAACTGAATCCGACAATGCCAACGCTGCGCTCCTCAATGAGATGAGGTCTCTGGGAGCAAAAATGGACAACCTACAAGCCACTCTGGAGGAACAAATGAACATTAAATTTGACACACTGAATAAACGCTTGGAGACTCTCATTGCCGAAAGTCAAGCAAAAATAAAGCAAGAGCTGGAAACAGCCGCAGCTAAAATGCGAGCTGATTTGGACACGGAGGTGGGGATATTGTGCGCAAGAATTGAGAATATAGAGTCCAAATTAGTTTGTACAAGGGCGCTGAATTTTGACCCGAGTGTGTCTGTAATCATCGTGGGCCTACAGCAGGAAGATAATAATGCCTTGCATCTCATTGGGCCCATTGTCGTGTCCCTGATCACTCTGCCTTGTGTCTTAAATTTCGTGTTGGAGAGTTTCACTATAGGTTGCCAATTAATGAAAATGATTTAAGACCAGTGAAGACAAAAATTCAGAGACATTACACTACAGATTTTCTATCTTCAAATTATTGTAAGAATGTCCTGAAGAATATTCAAACAGCTCTAAAAGAAAAAAACACACATACATGTTGTCCATACTATTATGAATCACTTTGTGAGATGCTGTACAAGGAAATGGGAGGAGCTGTTAGAGTGGGGGGCAGTGGGGGGCAGTAGGGGGGGCAGTGGGGGGCAGTAGGGGGGCAGTGGGGGGCAGTAGGGGGCAGTGGGGGGCAGTGGGGGGGCAGTAGGGGGGCAGTGGGGGGCAGGGGGGCAGTGGGGGGCAGTAGGGGGCAGTAGGGGGCAGTAGGGGGCAGTAGGGGGACAGTAGGGGGCAGTAGGGGGCAGTAGGGGGCAGTGGGGGGGCAGTAGGGGGCAGCATCATAGGCCTAAACAATACTTTAAAACAAACCAACCTTACTGGAACCAAGAGCTACATGCTCTTTGGGCGAAAGTGAGATCAACAGAGAAACTTTATCTAAAATGTAAGGATTCAAACGAAAGAAAACTATTAACTGTTTTTAAAAAGCATCAAAACAATTTTGATAAGAGATTAAAATTATTCAAAAGACGGTTTAGAAGAGGACAAAGCCTTCAGCTCCAAAGTTTGCAATCAAACTCAAAATGTTTCTGGAAGGAAATTAATAAATTAGGCCCTCAGAAAATGAAATCTATCCCAATGGAGATTATTACAGCTAATGAAGAGGTGAGCTATGATAAAGAATTAATATGATCAAGATGACAACAAGACTACAGCGCCCTTTACGGTTGGAAAAATACATTATTTTCAAAACATTCTATTTTTCAAAGAAATCTGTTACATAAAAAACTGTTCAGAAGTTGAGATGGTATTTGTTGAATTTAGCCAGAGTGATGTGTTAAATGCTGACATCACAGTGGAAGAAGTTCAAAGAGTCATATGTTCAGCAAAAGCCCATAAAGCAGTAGGTGTTGATGAGATTCCCAACGAGGCTCTTAAGGCTCCACCTCTGCTCAATGTGCTGCACAGTCTCTTCCAAGCATGTTTTAAACAGGCAGCCATTCCTTCAGCATGGTATCAGTCAATTATTAAACCCATACCTAAATCAGCCAAATATTCCTCGAGTGCCCCTGAATTATAGAGGTATCAGTCTGATCAGCACTGTGTATAAGTTGTACTCGGGAATCCTCAACAGTAGACTCAATGACTTTTTGGAGATAAATGAGACCCTGGCAGACGAACAGAATGGCTTTGGAAAAGGCAGGGCCTGCATTGACCATATGTATGTTTTATCATCTGTGCTGAGAGCCAGGCTCCAAGAGGGAAAATCTACATTTGCCTGCTTCATCCATTTTCAAAAAGCATTTGAATGGGTTAACAGGGATCTTCTGTGGTATAAGTTGCTGGGATATGGTGTTAAAGGAAGGTTTTATGACGCAATCAAGTCCCTCTACCAGGCCCCTGTTGCCTGTGTGCAAATTAACAATTTAAGAACGGGTTGGTTTCCCCCCTTTTGGAGTGAAACAGGGCGATGTATTATCACCAACTTTATTTTCTTTATATATAAACGACCTGGTGAATGAAATTAAAGAAGCCAACCTTGGTATTTGTATTGATGACTTCAACTTAGATCTCCTGTTGTATGCAGATGACATTATTCTGCTGGCAGAGACTGAAGACAAATTACAGAAGATGTTAAATATTTTAAGTGCATGGTGTAGAAAATGGAGACTGGCCCTAAACAAAGATAAAACACAAATTATGCATTTCCGTGAAAAGAATCAGTCACCAAGTACATATTCTTTCCTTTATGACCTTTCTCCATTAACCTACACACGTTCATATAAATACCTCGGGTTGGTCTTCAATGAGTTCATGGTTTTTACAGAGGGAACCCAGTCTCTGTGTGAGTCTGCAGGGAGAGCTCTGGGCTCCTTTAACCCAGTCTCTGTGTGAGTCTGCAGGAGAGCTCTGGGCTCCTTTAACCCAGTCTCTGTGTGAGTCTGCAGGAGAGCTCTGGGCTCCTTTAACCCAGTCTCTGTGTGAGTCTGCAGGGAGAGCTCTGGGCTCCTTTAACCCAGTCTCTGTGTGAGTCTGCAGGAGAGCTCTGGGCTCCTTTAACCCAGTCTCTGTGTGAGTCTGCAGGGAGAGCTCTGGGCTCCTTTAACCCAGTCTCTGTGTGAGTCTGCAGGAGAGCTCTGGGCTCCTTTAACCCAGTCTCTGTGTGAGTCTGCAGGAGAGCTCTGGGCTCCTTTAACCCAGTCTCTGTGTGAGTCTGCAGGGAGAGCTCTGGGCTCCTTTAACCCAGTCTCTGTGTGAGTCTGCAGGAGAGCTCTGGGCTCCTTTAACCCAGTCTCTGTGTGAGTCTGCAGGAGAGCTCTGGGCTCCTTTAACCCAGTCTCTGTGTGAGTCTGCAGGAGAGCTCTGGGCTCCTTTAACCCAGTCTCTGTGTGAGTCTGCAGGGAGAGCTCTGGGCTCCTTTAACCCAGTCTCTGTGTGAGTCTGCAGGGAGAGCTCTGGGCTCCATTGTGAGTAAAATGAAAATTGTCCCAGATTTAAGTTTCTCTGTGTATACACAACTGTATGACTCTTTGGTTAGCTCTATTTTATTCTATGCAGCTGGTGTTTGGGGTTTCAAGGAGATTGATCATGTTAATGCTCTTCAGAATAGAGCCATTAGAACATTTTTGGGAGTGCATAAATTCACCCCAATATCAGCGACACAGGGGGACATGGGATGGGAGCCGTGTCTCATAAAGCAAAGGGCTGAAATGGTGCGTTTATGGAACCGCCTCATCCAGCTGCCCAATCACAGGCTCACAAAAAAGATTTTTAATTGGAACTGTTCAAACAATGTCCCCTGGTCTAGAGAAATGTGTTCTTAAGTGCTCATTTAAATTATGTTTATCTAAATAAACTAATAAATAAAATGTGATATAAGTTTGTTTAGAAAAAAGGCATTAACAGAGTTTAAAGCACAATGGAAACTTGATATTTGCAGGAAACCTAAGTTAAGACATTATATTTTATTTAAACAGGAGTTTTACACAGAACTGTACCTAGAAGGCAGCGCTCTCTGTTAGCCCAGCTGAGGACCGGCACTTTGAAGGCAGCGCTCTCTGTTAGCCCAGCTGAGGACCGGCACTTTGAAGGCAGCGCTCTCTGTTAGCCCAGCTGAGGACCGGCACTTTGAAGGCAGCGCTCTCTGTTAGCCCAGCTGAGGACCGGCACTTTGAAGGCAGCGCTCTCTGTTAGCCCAGCTGAGGACCGGCACTTTGCCTCTAGCAGTGGAGGTGGGGCGCTTTAAAGCGGTCCCTGAAGAGGTCCGTCTCTGTACAGTGTGTGACCTGGGGGTGGTGAGGATGAGCCTCATTTTGTTTTGTATTGTCCACTTTACTTTGAGCTTCGAAACATTTTATTTGAAAAAGTAAATGCTTCTAACCCAGAGGTCTTTTGGTGGCCGGAGGGAGAAATTATGAACTGGTTGTACTGCCATGAAGTTTTTGAGGTTTATGCTTTCATATGAAAGGGTTACAGGTTGAGGAGGAGTATCCAGGTACTAAGGAGGGTATAGCAGCAGGTATACGGAGGTGATGAAGATGTGTATCTGTGCTTTTCTGGAATCAACACAAAAGATCAAATGTTTATTAAAAACAGCCTTTTAGACTATGAACACAGATACACTGTAATCAATGAGTGACATTACAACCGTAGCCCACAAGGGGGCGCTCTAACTCTATAAATGGTGTTACGTGGAACTTTATAATGAAAAGGCAAACTATATGTGTAGCAGAAACGGGCTGTTCTAAACTATACACACACAGACACACATATGTACATTATCCACATATAGCAGGGCTTATTATGGAGTGCTCCTACAGTCATGCACGTGGCGCACCACGTGTTGTAGCTACAAGGAGGAAGCGGACATTAAAGTATATAAATGGAGCATAAATATAGATTGGCACATGGTACTCACTTTGCATAGACGCACACAGAACTTATACACACAGGATTATTGATGGTTGGCATGACGCACGCGCACAGGCTCCGCCCCTAACACTGTAAAGAAC